AAAAGGTTTGGCGGAGTAGCGGTCCCAGGATTTTCTTAGCGGGGAGGGGGAGGACGATATTTGAATGAAGCTGCGCGGCTTTATCCACGCACTCTGGAAATTTTTTTCTGAAATGCTTCCCAAAATTTCTCCGGGCCCATAACTAGATATAAGAATGATGCAGCCATGCAATAAAAAATGTTCTTGCAAGACCTAGTTGAATTGTTAAAGACTTTGAGAATGTTACACTATCTAAAGTTATAGGCAAGTCATATGCGCATTTTTTCACTCATGTAAGTAACAAATTGCAACCTTATCTCAAAGGGCTCTTTTGACGCACATCTGGCAGATATTTAGTTCTATAATGATTTTATAGAGTCTCGGTATTCATAGTAGAGAGAGCAAAAATTTACATGATTCAGTCATTTTTGCATAAACTTTTTTTTCCGATGGCAGGTTGTTTCGCTGCTAATCACTGCAGAATACGATTATGTAGTATATATTATCCTGCAAATCTGTAACAACATCAAAATTGTGATTAATCTGATCGACTTAACCAGACAGTGCTCGCGTCCAATATGAACATGGTTTTTTGAGATCCCGACTTTTCTGGATAGTACAAATAGAATCCTTGCATTAAATTGTGTTTTGTAACATCAGTGGTACTTGGATGAGCGAAAAAGTACAACTAAAAATTGATCTGTGAGGTTTCCATGTTAGTCATTATCTTTTTGACATTATCGCAAATTGTTCAAATGGTTCTGCTGCCATCATTGCATTAAGTATGACAGACCCAAATTCTCTCCAACAGCATATTCACATATACATACATACCATAGCTAAATGATTTGCTTCAGGTCAGGATTTCAGTGATCGGTTCGACTGGAATAACGTATGGAACGTCACCCATAAATAATCTCCAATCTTCGATTTGAATCTTTTACTGACTTAGCCCGCATTTTCTGTATTCAATTTATTTATTGTTGACTACATATGAATAAAGTCTTCTACGACAGACTCAATTTA